CCCTAAATTCACACCTCCCTGAGATGAACAAGGCTTGGAGAATAACGTTTAAAACTCATTGAAGTGAATGGGCTGGTAGAAGTGAGAAGTTCACACCTTTACTGCTACTATTTAAGAATCAGAATCATAGAAATGTAGAGCTGGAGGAGACCTTCAGAGGTCATCTAGTCCAGCCCTCCATATTGAAGCAGAGGCAAGTATACATAGACCATCCCTGGCAGGTGTTTGTCCAATCTGTTGTTAGAAACCTGCAATGACAGAGATTCTGTAACCTCCCTTGAAAGCCTATTCCAGTATTTAACTATCTTTACAGTTAGAAAATTTGTCTGGAGACAGCTTCTGATAACATAGGCCTTGTCTACACTAAGAATTCTAGGCAGTTTTCCTACTCCTAGTCTAGTATTGATGCATCTCCACCGGTATTAGCAACCAAGGAATCACTTGTGTAGGCTGGGCACAGGCTGAGCTCCACCAATGTTAGGAGAGTTACAGAATGGTTAAAAAGTAATGGGTGAAGGAAGGCAGCAACACCAGCAAGAGACTCCGAATTAGATTTTTTTTTTTGTTTGGAGGTTTGTGCTGTGTCTGTTTCAATTAGACAGATAGGACTTGCCTGTGCTGTAAGTATAACCATGCGAATGTGAGGTTATCTGTCGTGGTTAGGGATGGCTGGGTTCTCACACAGTGGTTTGTTGGTAATGTGGATAAGACAACATGGTTCTGTAACCATATAGGGGAACTATTATAGGCTAAGACATAATTCTGCTGGGACCTCTCTTAACCGTTTAGAGTTACAATGCCTTTGCCTTGTCTCAGTGGCCAATATATGGTTTGGAGGCTTTTTTCCTACTTCTCTTGATGTACCGATGAGCAATAGAAGCATTAAAATGTTGAAAAGGCATATTATCTTCACTTCCCAATGATTGAAACATGACCAAAGGGATTTTGTTGAAATATTACAATAAAACTCACCATTGAGTTGAGGCTAAGAATAGAAAGCTTCAGCCCACAAAAAAAATTTCTGAAGGTTCTGAGTAGATGGAAAAAAATGGGCTTTTAATGAACGTGTCTCGATGTGACCTTCACTGTAACTTTTGCAGTAGTGTAAGCTATAATAAAATTTACAAAGAAAATTTCACTCAGTCTTTCAGTATCATGATACTGCAACTCAGATATTCGTTAGACAGTATCCATAATGACAGTCTTTTTTCAAATTTCTAAATGGCTATTGCAGTATGCTGCACCCCAGACATTTTAGCCCAGCAATAGTAACTGGAAGCATTAGATTTTTGGTAAAAATTGTAATAATAAGGAAGGAAATATTCAGCAAAGCAGACATACATTTCTCTGAGAAGTTTCTATTTTTATCAGTAAAAATATTTTTCAGTGGAAAATGTTACACCTGATAACATGCATCAGAAATGAGAAAGAGGATAGTAGAGTCTGAGAGCCAAACTCAGTTGCTAATGTATGTTATTGGTACCATTGTACCTGCTGTGCCAGGTTGTGAATTTGGCCCTGAGAGACTGCTTCAGTAAATGATGGTCTGAGATTAAATTATCTGAGCTGTCCGTCAACTGACTGACTTTATTGCATAGCTGATTTACCCATTGGCATGCTGATCAGTTAGGTGAGTCTCCATGTATTTACTTTTCTCCCAGCAATATCACTATAAGGCAATATTTATTCAGATGACATCACACCATCAGCTGCTTAGCTACATAGCACCATAACAGAAGAAAATGATCTTGAATGTTTATGGATCAGTGTCTTAATAGATAAAGCACAAGATGGTTATTACATGGTGTCTGCAACAGACCACCAAATCACACTAGGGAACATGATGACTGGCTCCTTATGCACCTATATATATAAATATAAATATATATAAATATATATGCACCTATATATAAATTGTGTGATCATAGGGGATTTCAATTGGAGTAACATATGCTGGAGGTCTCATGCTGCAAGTACTAAAACGTCTTTAGAATTTCTAATTATAGATGTCAATTTCCTAACTCAAAAAGTATTGCATCCAACATGGGGAAATTCTACATTAGACCTCGTCTTGACAGATAAAGAGGAACTGAACTAAAAAATAATGATAACGTGGATACAAGCGATCATGACTTTGATCATATTTATAATGTGCACAGAGAATAAAGCCCAACCCAGTGAAATATATACTTGGTACCAGGGCTTAAATTCTCAGAGATTATTTCCCGGAGCCCCACAGACCTGGGGCTCCAGGCTTCAGCTTTGGGGCAGGGGTCTCAGGGCTTTAGCTCCATGGGGGGTGAGCGGTGCTGGGGCTCAGGACTTCAGCCCAGACTGTGGGGGAAGAGGCACCAGGGCTCCGGGCTTTTGACCCACGGGGGAGAGACGCCGAGGCTCGTGGCTTCATCCCCGTGGCTGGCGCCGGGGCTCGAGGCTTCAGTTCCGTGGTAGGTGCTGGGGCTCAGGGCTTTAACCCTGCAGCAGACGCCAGGGCTCTTGGGGCTTTAGCCCGGCTGCAGGTGCCGGAGTTCCTGCCTTGCAGGAGATGCCAGGGCTTCTGTGGGTTTGAAAACATTCACTGGACCTCTGCTCTGGCTAAATTTAAGCCCTGCTTGGTGCTTTAAAAGGACCAGTTTCACAAACGTGAAAACAATTATGAGCCAAATCAGCTGGTAGGAAGAATTTAATCAGAAAAATATGAATGATAATTGGAAATTGTGTAAGAACACTTTACTAGCTGCCCAAAAAGTCAAAATCGAGGAAGAAGGCTATATTAGATTAAAAAGCCAGCCCAGTTTAGCGAGGAAGTGAAAGCAGCTATAAGAAATAAAAAAAAATATTAAATGGAAAAAAGGGGACGTTGATAGCTTCTGATTTATGTTCATTACTAAGAATTATGGAAATTGATAAGGGAAGCAGAGGGACACAAGGAGAACTCTATGGCCAGCAGAGTTAAAGACAATACGAAGGAATTTTTAAGTATATTAGAAACAAAAAGAATCCTGACAATGGTATCAGTCCAGTACTAGATTGAAAAGGTAGAATTATCAATAATGCAAAAAAGACAGAAGTGTTCTATAAAAAAAATTCTACTGTATTTGGGGGGGGAAAGATAACGTTATATCATATGGTAATCCTCTCTTTCTGTTCTACACTCAGGAGAATGTAAAACAGCAGCTACTAAAGTTTGACATTTTAAAATCAGCAGGTCTGGATAACTTGTGTCCGAGAGTTTTAAAAGAGCTGACATTTAAAAAGGGTAAATGGGATGACCTGGGTAATTATAGGCCTGTCAATCTGACTTCCATCCAAGGCAAGATGATGGAGCTGTTGATATGGGATTTGATTAATAAAGAATTAAAAGAGGGTAATATAATTAATGCCAGTCAATATGGGTGTATAGAAAAAAAGATGCTGTCAAACTATTTTGATACATTTTTTTAATGAGATCATAAATTGGGATGATACCGGTAATAGTGTTGATTTAATATACTTAGACTTCTGCAAGGCATCTGGGTACATTTTGATTTAAAAAACCTAGATAATATAAAATTGACAGGGCATACATTAAATGGATTAAAAGCTGGCTAACTGATAGGTCTCAAAATGTAATTGTAAATGGGCAATCACCATCAAATGAGTATGTTTCTAATGAGGTCCCATAGGGATCAGTTTTTGGTTCTGCACTATTTAACATTTTTAGTAATGACCTGGAAGAAAACATAAAATCATCAGTGATAAATTTGCAGATGACACAAAAATTGGGAGAGAGGTAAATACTAAAGAGAACAGGGGTCAGTTGCACAGAGCGATCTGGATCATTTGTTAAGCTGGGCGCAAGCAAACAATATGCAATTTAATATGACTAAATATAAATGTATACATCTAGAAACAAAGAACTTTGGCCATACTTACAGGGTGGAGGACTCTATCCTAGGAAGCAGTGAGTCTGAGAAAGATTTGGAGATTGTGGTGGACAACCAGCTGAACATGAGCTCTCAATGCAATGCTATGGCCAAAAGGGCTAATACAATCCTTGGATGCATAAACACGTGGACCTGGAGTTGAGGTATAGAGAGGTTATCTTATTGCTGTATTTGGCACTGGTGCGACAGCTGCTGGAATACTGTGTCCGGTTCTGGTCTGTACAATTCAAAAAGGATGTTGGTAAATTAGAGAGCGTTCAGAGAAGAGCCACAAGAATGATTAAAGGACTGGAAAATATGCCTTATAGTGATAGACTGAAGGAGCTTACTCTACTTAGCTTAACAAAGAGAAGCTTAAGGGGTGACTTGATCACAGTCTGTAAACACTTACATGGGGCAAAAATGCTTAATGATGGTCTCTTCAATCTAGCAGACAAAGGTATCAGATCTGGTGCCTGGAAGTTGAAGCTAGACAAATTCAGACCAGCAGTAAAGCACAATTTTTTAACAGTGAAGGCAACTAACCATTGGAACAACTTACCAAGAGCTGTTATAGATTCTGTATCACTGGCAATTTTTAAATAAATCTTGGATGTTTGTCTAAAAGATCTGCTTTAATTCAAACAGGAATGAATTCAGGGAAGTTCTACAGCCTGTTATACACAGGAGAGCTGTCTGGATGATCACAGTGGTCCCGTCTGGCTTTGTTATGCATGAATCTGTGTGCTGAGTTAGAAGGCTAATATATGTGCCTTTGTACTTATATGGTACATTTGCGAGTTAGGAAGCTATAAGACTATACCTTAACACACCTATAGAGTTGTGATGGATGGGTGGAGGAAAGGAATTCCAGGCATATGCTATGCTACGCTACCAGAAATTTTACCAATTCAATATATGATTTTTGAAGTGTCAGTGAAGGGAAAACTCTGAAGATAAGTGTAATTCACCAAAAGTTAGTAATTGTTATACTTTTTTGGACTTTTACAGAAATTAAAGTAGTAATGTCCTATATCCCTTTTCATTACTCTGAATCTCCTTAATAATGCAATGCTCTATGGGTTGCTTTTTTAGAATCCCACTAAACGTCAGAGACGTCGTTTACTGTACAGGAGTTTCACTGATGGATGAAGATGTATGGGAGTTCATTTGGATGAAATTCCATTCTACCACAGCAGTATCTGAGAAGAAAATATTGTTAGAAGCCTTAACTTGCAGTGATGATAGAAACTTGTTAAACAGGTGGAAGTATCTATTTATGGTTTCTGATTCTTTGTCATTGATAACTGTTGCAATAATGATATTGCTTCCCCATCTCAGCATTTATCTGTAAATGAGAGAGCCTGTTTTTAGAGCACAGAATCATTTTCTAGTTAGAATGTCACATAGTTTTGTACTGAGACCCTTGCAAATGCATGAATTTTTCATGATTTCACTTCTAAACCATAGATAGGGCCAGGTTCACTTAGCCAACTTTTTGATCAACATGGTCTCAGTGTACAGTTCATAAAGATACATGCAGTCAAGAGCATTTCACATGATCTCAGCTTTCATTGAAAATATTCCACCTGCAATTATGCTTAAATATCTTCCTACTTCTAGAGAACTCACAATCCAGTTGCAGGACTGAAGGCTTTTTTTTTATTCAGAAGTATGTGTGATCTTTGGAATCTCACAAATAAAAATCAGAGCTCTCCTGGCAATTTAAATAAATCTTTTAGCAATTTCTGGTCTTTGCTGTTTCATTGTTAGATGACGAGCTTTAAGGATCTTATTGGCAAAAACTAAACAGTTTTTTTTTCCCCTCGACTCACTCCTAAAGGCTTCTGAACCTGTCTCTCAATTCAGAAGTTGTCCTGGATCAAGATGCAATTGATGTCATAATCCACGTAGCTCGAAATCCACATGGCAGGGATCTTGCTTGGAAGTTTTTCAGAGAAAAATGGAAAATACTAAATGCCAGGTAAAGATAATAGTTATTTGTAGTGTCTTATTTTCTATATCTCTCTAGATATTTTAACTACCCATTTCTATGTCTAATCCACTCTCTTTCTGTTCATATATAGCTCTGTCTATCAATCTATCTATCTATCTAATGCAAAGATTTGTGTATAAAATATATTTTATATAGACATAAAGCTATTCATAGATGTATCTATCTATGTATATCATCTATATATTTGTCCATTACTGTATTGTCTTTTTGATTATATGTGCTGTATGTCAAATCCAACAGCCCTGTTCTTACTTAGACAAAAAACCTCCCAGTGGGAGTTTTGCCTGAGTTAAATCTGATTGAAAAATCTGCTTTAGAACATGGGAGCAGGACAGTGGAGAGAATCTTTTTGAAATGCCCCAATTTTTATGGAATGGAGGGGTGCTGAGTACAATGGGACATCTTTCACTGTCCCTCCAACTTTATGGTAACTTTACACACAATCTTCACTCGTTTGAAGGGCCAGCCTTTTGGATGAAGGTATACCTGACCAAGCGGGAGGGGGCGACCTTTGGAAAGCCACTCTCTGTGGTGTGCTGTGCCATGCCCCATAGCTGCAACTGTTTCCCTGTGTAATATAATTTGGACTCTTACAACATTACTCAGAATCCCCATCCATGTTCTTAAAACTCACCTGAGGGGAATTTTAATTTAGATGCAGGTAGGGAACTAATTGGAGATATTCTTGGTTCTTTTTGGATGTCTTCAAGACCAGCACTGCAGATAACTGGACATAACCAGGTTAAGAGAGCCCACACCTCATGTCTGCTCCATGGACAGTCAAAACCACCATAACCACCACCATAGCGATAGGAGGATTTGTCAGAAACACCATATTAGTGAATCTTTCTCAAAGAGTGTAGAATTTGGCCTTATGTTTGCTGTCCATGATGCTTCGGTTAGGATTTTGGGGGCTAGCAGATTTTATGGAAGTTCAGTTCAGCTAGGAAAATTGGCGTTGAGCAGAAATTTGGTTTTGGAAGTTTTAGTCCAGGAGCAAACTTTTTAAAACAAAGTACCCCAAGCCAATTTTTTCCTATGGGACCCACCACCATGGTATCCTTGTGCCTTACAAGCAGTAAGGAACTTAGCCTCACAATGCACCTGTGCAGTTGGGAACTTCATTATCTCCCTTTTGATGGGGAAATGACAAAGGGCCCTGTTCTTGACTCAGGGCCAGCTTTGTACTACGCCAGTCTTGGGGCTACTCAATACTGTGCTGGTCCCTAAATACAAATTAGGACTTGTCTACACAAACATTGAGTTTGCGGCAAGTTGGGGCATGAATCTACCTTGTACTATCCTGGCACACTCAGACTATCCATGTGGACCCTGCTGACATGAATTAACAGTTCATTAATGCACTTTGATCTAGTCCTCTTTGAAACAGGACCAGACGAAAGCATTTAAGTGAACTGTTTAATGTATGTCAGCATGGTGCACATGGACAGAGTGTGGCAGGCTAGTTCGGGGTAGATTCACTCGAGTAATACATAGAGCTCTTATTGCATAATCCTGATAGACTGAAATGACTCCAACATATCATGGATATAAATTTTGTAACAGGCAATTAAAACCTTCCATGAAAGGTCGCTTAAAGCATCATAAAAAATTATGCAGTGAAACACCCAAGATCTGACACTGACTGAGGAATGTATGACAGTGATCTTAAATTTTTGTGATACTAGGACCTTTTAGAAACGTGAGTTCAGTTGCACAATCAGTTGTGCAACATTTCATTGCAGACATTTAATCAAGGCCACATACTATCCCAAGATATCCTTTTTCACAATGTTTATTTTGTCATTACTAGATATGTCATTTTATTAAATATTTTGATCATCTCTATGGTATTTCCCATTGAATTTATTATGAAATACTTAGCAGTTTGATACAGTAATATGAGGTATCCACGGACAATTAAATAATGCTAAAACTAATTTTCTATGACTATGCAATACTGTGTGTCATTTGGATGAAACAACAGCACCAAAATATTATTCTTTCATGACATTTTAAAGTATATTTGTCACACCCCTCAAACAATGAGCAAAATTGTCAAAAGTGCTTAAATCCTATTTTCAAAAGTGATGTAGGTATTGAGGAACCTAACCTAAGTCTCACTACAAATTAAAGGGGGTTATGCCCGTAAATTCCCAATTCACTTTAGAAAATGGGATGCAGGATCCTTAGACAATTTTGAAAATTTTATCCAACGTCTGAAAATAGCAATCCCTATCTTCCTTACTATGGGCCTGATTCTTCTCTGCCCTCTGATTTCATTTGCATCTGTCCAAAGTAGGCGAGAAATACTACTACACAAACCCAGTAGTATTATACACCCACTTTGCACAGGTGAAATAGCTAGAAAAGTCGCAAGCTATTAGAAAATCAGGCCCTGTAAATAAAGGAGCAGGAGAAGACTCCCATCATTCCTAGATGAACTGCTTCTGCGAGGCAGAAACACTTGTTTGCTGGTTCTGTAATGCCATTACTGTTTTCTGTGACAGTTTGTCAAGCTCAGTAGTTGAAAGAGGAGGTTCTTTTCCACAGTAAACAGTGAAGTAATTCACAAGGCTTAGTTTTCAAGGAAAAAATAAATTTTACTACTTGTTTACACTGTGGAAACAGTGCAGACTGCTTGAAAAATAAAATCCCTGCACTCTTTTCATGAGGTCACTTCTGTTAAGTGGATTAGTAACCTTGTCAAAAGGCCCCATCAAGAGGTGCTTCCAGTTTTCCAAACAATCAATTATGGGGCTGAGTTGCGAAGGTAACAATAGAGTGCTTTGTTTGAAAGCCTAAACATGCTTAAAAGATCATGAAGTCCATATGTCTTCCCATATTAAACATTTGCATCTGGATGTCTGTGTATATAAGCGTGACTGAAGCTTTGGAAAAAGAGATGTGCTTGCTGAAATATCCATGAATAATTCAGTTATTAGTGAACAGGGAGTAGGAATTTTGATATCTGCAACACTGTTCCTTACACAGAAGTTCCAGGTAATAAGCAAAGGAACTTACCCCTCAAAAATAGAAACTTTTCCAACACAGCAAGTTCTTTTTCAGGGTTTTACATTTATTTAAATAGAGCTTTCATTTTTTTAAAGACTCTCTGGCTTTCACTACCTACAAGGTTAAGAGTAATTAATTTTAGTATAAGGTTGATATAAACAGAAAAGAAGCCTGTGGTTGTGCTATTTCAATTTTCAATGTGAAGTATGAGTTGGTTCTCCAAATCTGTTTGGAGAAAGCAAATGTGTGAGCCCAATTCTGCCCTCAGATAAACCCAAACGTGTGCACATATATGAGGTCAGATTTGGGCTCTCTATTTTTAAACACAATTATGTCCAGATGGAGGTAGGTAAATTAAGTGGTGTTTTAAGGACTAGTTCACTGTAGTTTTAATCAGATAACTGTAGCTATGTTGAATGATGCAAGTCCTGATAAAATACTGCGTGGCTACTCTTAGAATGCAACTTCACATCACAGAGATTTTAAAGAGATTCTTCCATGTGTAATGCAAAAACCCAGGCGCCATCCTTTTCCTTGGTTTATCTTTAGCCTAACGGATGTAGATTGGGTTTTTTTTAAATTGGGTACACTAGAACTTTCAGACAAGCAGTGGAATGAGTGGTGTTTTAATAACCGCTTTCCAAGTAAGTGAATGTGGAATAGCAGTTCAGTGAAGTACAGTATATTCAACAGCAATAGCAAGACGCAAATTTGGCTTCAGACACCCAGCATCCAAGGCATCATATTTTCATTGGTTGGTTACCTCTTTTGCAGGGCTATACAAGAAAGTTAATTTAGAGTAAGGTGAATTGAGAATTTAAAGTGAAATAACTATTGCTGATTAACTCCGTCTAGGGACACTCTTATTCTGGAATAAGAGCATCCACAGAGAGCTAATCAGGAATAATTAGTCCGCTTTAAAATCACACACTATTTTATACCAGATTAATTTTCATCTTTAAACAAGCCTTTAAGTACTGGAAGGAGACCACCAGATTCAGCTCATTTATGTAACGACTACTAGTTATGCAAATGAGATGGGTAAGGAAAAATGGAAAAGAGAGCACAAAACTAAAAAAAAAGTATGTTTTAAGGCTTCAGCTGCAAAGGTGCCACATGCTCTTTCCCTAAACTGGCTAGTCTTCTGCCTCTTGGCTTTGCAGTCTGTATGGACCAGTAGTTACCATTACTGAATTTTGAACTGGCTATAGTCCTTGAATGGAAATGTGTGTAATCCAATACTTTCATTCAGTTGATATACTTACATTAATTTGATATGTGTGTTTTTCTGCCCTTGAAGATATGGAGAAGCATTATTTATGAATTCCAAACTTATCAGTGGAGTCACAGAATTCCTTAATACTGAAGAAGAACTAAATGAGGTAAATATTACATGCATCTCAGTGCTTGAACTTGTTTTTATCTTATTTTTTTTAACCTTTTAAGTCTTGTAGTAGCACCAAGATGAAAGCAGATGCAAAGATCATAGGGGCTGAAAAAATCTTTCTGCTCTATGGGAACTGACAGTGGCTTAGGGAGGTTCTGAGTTACTTTGGGGTTCTCTCACTCAGTATGACCAGGCACTGCAGGACTAGGAGGAGGATCCAGGCATCTAGCAACTCTTGGTGCCTAGCAGGTGACACAGACCCATCCTGCTACTGGACAGCAAGAGGGTAATGTTCTGTAGTCTCCTAAACCAGATTGCCAAGGATCCTTGGTGGGGTCTGTGGGTGGAGGGAGATAAAGCAGGCAACTCCTTCTCTGCTGCATGACAGTATTAAACTTATTCTGGTCTGAATGCTGAAGCCACCACTGTGCGTTCCTGTTCTATTGCTCTCCCTACAGTTTGTGGCTGTGGAACCAAGCATGTGACTTTAAACTAGGATTTTTAGCATTTCTGAAATATTATAGGACTATAAGCTTATATGTAAACTATTTCTCAGTTCTCTGACTTTGGGACAGATGATCAAGGCTCAAATTCTGCACTAGGACTAGAACAGTACTGCAGTACTAGGTGGGCTGTGCTGCTAGAGGTGCCATCCATTGGTCAAGATGTTAAACACTGGCCTCTTGTATCCCTTTTAGGTAGATGCTGTAGAGAAAGTTAAAAGCTCCATGTTTTGTGATAAGAGTAGCAGACAATGCCCATGTTCTGTCTCCGTCAGTACTTCAAGTATTGAGGGGGATAGCTGTTAACTGTGACATTCTGACCAGATTCTACTTCAGTAATTATATACATCCTACCTAAATTAGCCCGATCTTTGAATTGAATGGATCCTTCACCTGCCTGTCTGAGGTTGTGTGGTAGTTTTGCAACTGCCATGTATCATCTCACATGGATTAAACGATTCGTACACAATGTAGTCATGGCTAACCAAAGGCTGATTACAGCCTTCATGGCTATGCTGTACTATTCTGTGCACTCCAGGTTTGAAAACTCAGAACTCAAGGAATAGCCCCAGCTGGCTTCCTCAAGGCCATCCATTTGGGACTGATATATCAGCCTGTTGTCAATATCGAGACAGCGGGCAAGGGTGTGCTGCACTCTGGGTTCTCACCTCCATAACATTGGTAGGCTGCTCCATTTCCCCTGAGACAAGCTGGCCATGAAAGTATATCAGTAAAAAAGAGTGCAAATATAGGATCTGCTCCTAAAAGATGCAGAGCACCTCCTGTGAGGTGTTAAGCACCATCTGTAAATTCTGTTAAGGCTAGTGGGAACTGAAGTTGTTGAGCACCTCAGTTGCAGGATCAGACCCGTTAGCTTTAAACAAATGCATAAAATGCTATAGTCTAAGGTCAAGTTTCAATAAATGCATGGAATTTAGCCTCACCAGGAGAGAAACTTTTGCCAACTATTAACACCCTCTCCTAAAAACCAACAATTTGACATATGAGGTTACCAACAACCTGGAGCGCAGGCCACCCTACCACGTCTTTGTCTAAATCTAATATTAATCCAATGAGAATCAGTGCAATTAAAAGCAACTCAAATTCTGATGCCACATCTACGGCAACCCAAATCTGACTATCATACAAGTCAGAGCTTTTTGCTGACCAAAACCAAAGTTTCCCTGTAACAGAATCTTTTTCAGTAGTCCAAAATCTGAGAATAATTAGCAACATACTGCTCTTGGTAGGTTCTTCACATGTAGCTATGGTCAGTAACTTCTTAAATTGATCCACTCTCCTCTAACCAATCAATCTATGCAGCAGTAACATAAGTAGTTCTGCAAGGCTAAGTTAAACATCCATTATAATGTTTAATTAAATCAACCCTCTTTAGAGGCAGCAGGGCTGTTTCAGTTTGACTTTTGCTTATAAAGCTGAACTGGGAGCATTTCCAACACTCCCAATTTAGTTTCTTAAGTAGGAGTAAAACTTCAAAGCAGACCAGCTGTCTGCAAAGTGTAGCAGCTGGGCTACAAGAGAGAACGAGGAGATGATATTAATGTGATCCGGCATTGACATGTCAATATCTTACAGTGCAATTTGAAGCAAGCACATCACACCTAATTGACACAGTCTGCTGTCTTACTGCATTTTGCAATAAATCTCTCTACATGATATTACATTTACTTCAGCAGTGATCGTCGAGTTTTGTCCTAAATATCTGACTTGTTTACATGCATTGAAGAGAGTTCCTCACTTCAGTTCAATTTTAAATTGTTGATTTTAAATTGTATTTCCAGCTGAAGAATTTTATAAAGAGCTACAAGGAAGGAGCTGCCTCCTCTTTCTCTCGAGCTGTGGAAACAGTGGAAGCCAATGTACGGTGGCAAATGCTTTATAAAGAAGAACTATTCCAGTGGCTAAGAAAATCTCTGATACACTAATCTCTGTTTCTAACTAACCATTTAATGGGAAGTTGTGCAAGAGGAGGTGCAATACGTGAAAATCTGAGGGCGTTTGACATTGAAATGGTGAAGACAAGATCAGAATTGCAGGGAGTTTTCTTGCACTGGGCTCTTATTAAAACTGTAAAGGAACTCTTGCAAGAAGAGGCGGTCATGAATGCTTGTGAAATCCAGTCCTCAGTGTACATGACCAAACATGATATTAAGTGGTGCATGCAAATGTTACCGTCAGTTTGAAAAAACTTCAAAGAGTATTTTGTGCATGGTTGTATGGTCCCTGCCTGTAGTCCAGCATGCTTACTTGTAATGACCAAGTTTTGTATGTGAATTCCTGTTACATCAAAGATGGGCATTATGCAAAAGCACAAAGACTATCTATGACAATCAGTGTTGCAATGAACAGAAGTAATGGAAAAAAGGAGAGGAAAGTTTGTAGGGCTCCAAACACAGGGGCGGCATGAGATGTAAAGTCATCCTTACATGATAGATGCCAATCATTTCAGCACTCAGATTGTCTCTTAATGATTATAGGGATGCCAACTCATTTTTGAGTTGCCAGTTGTTATATATGCAGTCTCCCCATTTCCGCATTTAAATAAAGTGTACATACATTGAGAGACACCACTCACCTAGTACACTGTAATTTCATAGGCTAATTATATTCACTGCTGATCAGTGAAAAAAAACATTTTAAAGCTCTAATCGTAAATGTATACAATGTTTATGATGAGAACTTTGCATAGCTGCTTGGACAAAATCCATAAACCACCTCCTCTGAGTGATTTTATGAGGCAGTGGTATTCTGGATGTGTTACTCAATCGGTGTAGTAATTACGCAGCTGCTAATGCACAACTATCATAAATACTCATCAAACTCAAATGGATATAGGCAAAAGAGGAGAATAACCTGGATCCATGAACACAAAATTAACCAGTAAAGCTGTCTTGCACATGGAAGGCCAGCCTCTGTTATGATCTAATATAAAAGACAAATAACCTAGATACTCCATGATTGTGTCAGCATTTGAGTGATATTTTCACTCAAATACGCTCTTATCATTTTTGCCAACTCTTTTTTTAATGTTAAATACAGATATATATTTGTAATGGCTTCTGTTAAGAAAACTCTTCTACTTCTATTTCCCTTTTCCTGTGATTCACATAAAGTATTCCAGAATTCTAAACATGAATATGATTTTTTTCCTCCCAATCCTACAATTTACTGAATTTGCTAGCATTTAATGACATTCTGCACCATTGGTGGCATCTATTGGGAATGAAAACTGATGTTCTCATCTTAGGCCCAAAAATTCTCCCATGCTGTGCAGCATGGAGAAGAGCAGAACCACAGAAAGATCACAGGAAGTTGGTTGTGGTAGTTCAGAGGTGGGGATAGACATAGTATTTCTGCCCCTGCCATTTAACTGTTTCTGGCCTTTCTGCAACATGAGAGGTCAGCTCTCTGCAGCTGGGGGAATGTGGCCACCCAAAGTCGGGAACATTTTACACAGCAGTTCAACTCACAAAATGCAGCATGGTAGTAGTAACTCATCCTCAACCAGTTTTTCACAGATGGGTCACAAGTGGGCACTGTGCAAGGAACCAGCCAATATCAGCATATTGAACTGGCAGACGAGTCCTTGCAGTGGTGTAATGGGAGAAGAGACTCTCTAATATAGCCCCTTGTTCCTATGGAACTCTGTTCCTCAAGAGCTGATAGCCACATCCCCTGAGTATCCTGCTCTACTACTAACTGTACTGACATGAGTTAATGCAGCAGAACAGCACCAGCCCGGGAGCTACAGATCTCTACCCTCTCCTTCTGTGTCTAGTGTGACCTTACAAAAGAAGAGGGAGTCCTCTGCTCCTGATAAGCCCTACACATTTTGTGTTGCAGTGTTAACGAGCTTCTGCTTTCCTCCCAGAGACATTTTCATGTCTGTAGAGTGAAATACTCTTTATGTATCTTTTACCTACCTCACAGGGATGTTGTGAGGCTTACTTAATGTTAGTCTAGCACTTCAGTATCCTCTGAGGGAAGGCACTTAAAAGTGCAAAGAGTTGTTGTTATGTGGTTGGCCAGACTCTGCCTCAACACCAGTATGTAGCTGCACTTTTAAAATTTGATGACAAAATACCATGTAGATCTGTCATATCAAAACAAAGCCAGAATATGCTTACCAGAGCCTTTGGCAAGTCCCTTCAAACCTTTGCTGGTCAAAGAGACTACAGGAAGTTAAATGCTTAAACATGAATGGGCTTGGAAATTTCAGTAAAAAGGTGTCCTTTTTTTGATGTGCCCAATGATTTGAATATCTCAGATTGCATTCTGCCATCTCGTTGTTCACTTGGTTGTCACTACAGTTTGAACTTGGGACATTTGGGACATATGTAGAAGTTTCTGACCTTTCCAATGATAATGGGCTAATATAAAGAGCAGCCTGACACATTACAAAATAGTGATTTGCTTTTAGTCATGTGAATTCCAGAGTGCAGAGCTGTTTTCATTATTGCTTTTTTAGAAATAGAATTCTAATGGTTTTTAGTCTTTTCTAGTAGGTTACACTAATGCTGGGTGCAAGTATAACATTTTAGTTGCTGTATTTAATATTTTAGTGGTATTGAGAGACTGGTCTACCACAAATATCAAGCCCTAGCTATTTGTACTGTACATACCAATTGTTGTATTGCATATAATTATTGTATTATAGTGATGTCATATTAATGCTAGAGTTAAGGTCGAGTTGGCCCTTTCCATTATAAATACCTAATGTTTATTTTTTTAATATTTTGTATTTTGCTGTTTTGCATTGAATCAGGCTTAAATTTAAATGGCTTAAATCAAATAAAACTATAGCTGTTTTCTACAGTACTCAGAAACCCTGCATTTAGGTATGTCTTCAGATTCTTTTCTTTATAAGTTCCAGACAGTGATGTATTAAAGAGCAGCTGATACCTCATGGAAAGCCTTACAAACATTCTTTTTAGGGAAAAAAAACTTTATCTCATTCATTTTTCTCCTTTGTTCCCCTATCCATAACTAGAGACGGGTCTTAGCTCCAAAATTTGGATTGTGATCCAGATTTTGAACATTCTAAACGTCAATGTACTTTTTTTGTTTGTTTCATTCAAATGCAGGTTTTTTGTTTGGTCCATTGTAGCGAGGAGGAATAAACTGCAAAATTTGGAATTACAAGGCAGTTTGGATTCTGAACTCCCCCAAAGCACCAGGGGTGTTTTGATATTGCAATTTAGGCCCACCTCTACCCTTAACACTTGTATGAACTCAGAATCACGTTCTTTATTCTTCTTCTATAGCCAGTGTTTATCCCTTACTGAATAATGTAGGGGATAAATCAACAGTAGACACAAATAGGTGCAACTCCATGATAATAGGATAATTTATTGTATTTGTATAATACCTTCAGGCAGAAAATCTGATGGTTCCTTGATGCCAGTAGAGTTACCCCAACTTATATCAGTAGTGAATTTGGCCCATAATAGTTGGTGGTATCATAATCATTAACATAGCTGCTAATGATGACTAGACTAGAATTATATGAATATTTTCTTCTTAAACCAAGTTTTACCCGTGTTGTTGGTGGTGTATATGAGCATTAGCTTTGCATGATTTTGATGCAGAACTATAGTATTTCATTAACTAGGGCCAGGTACACCTGAAACCTTGTGATCCTTTCAGTGCAACGGTGTGAATTCTAATCCTATAATGGAAGTTGAAGGTGGATTTTGTGTAGTTTTGGGGTTGTGAGTATTTCACACAGTTCTAAGTGTTATACAGAATTGTGACCTCCATCGGTGCCAATAAACTCTTTCACAACAAAGATCCCGATTCATCCAATTAACTCTTTAGTAATAAAGAATATAAGAGAAATAACTATATACATATATATTTACTAAAGCTATTATATACATGAGTCTACAGTCTACAGCCAAGTTTCCCATAAGGTGTCAGCAGCTCTATTTATTTTTCATAGACTATTGCAGATAGGAAGAGCAACATTTTCAAACATGGGTGCCAATATTTTAAACACCTAAATAAAAGTGGCTTTATTTTTCAGACCTGCTGATCACTAACCATTCCCATTGAAATCAAAATGTGGTGAGCAGAGCTCATCGAAAAATTCAAGATTTTCCATGAGAAAAAAGGGACACATTTTTCAGAATTGGTTTTCAATCAGCTCTAGTGGCAAACGCTCAGCATATCTCAGTATTGGTCCAGACTATTGGTCATAGCCACACATCTCACAGTGCAAGTTATGAGCAAGAGGGAGTATAGGGAGTGTTCTCCTGAGCCGGTTGGACACCGGGCCATTCTCCCAGCATTAAGGTAGAGCAGCCTGAGGGCGGATTTAACTTCCATCTACTGCCAATAGCCCGAAAGGCCAGTAAGTGATTGAGAATCACCAGGATGCATGGAAGCTTCAGCCAAGCTCTTTACACTGTCAGCCAGGAGGAGGTTGTCATAAGAACCCCTATGCCAGTTGCATATCACTGGGAGATCTTCTTAAACTAAAATGATGGCTGGAAGTTGACACTAAACAAATTCAGATTGGAAATACACTGTAAATGTTCTAATCAACCACTGGAACAATTTGCCAGGGGTTGTGGTGGATTCCCCATCACTGGCAATTTTAAAATCAAGATTGGGTGTTTTTCTAAAAGATGTCCTATAGGAATTATTTTGGGGAGGTTCTATGGCCTGTGTTATACAGAAGGTCAGACTAGAGGAACACAATGGTCCCTTCTGGCCTGGGAAGCTATGAATCTGTGATCTTCCTGGGGCTTTACATACCATATCTGTTGGTGTGCTTGCACCGCTAGGGAGAATCTGGACCATTTGTTTTAGACATCTAAGGTGGAAAACATTGACCAAAATCTTTGAAAAGGCTTAGATTTCTTTAATGTCTGTTCTTTAAAACTCATTTGAAACAGGTAACATATTTTGAATTTTAAAATACCTGCAAAGAGCCCTATAGTACTACTTTTTTTTTTTCAATTTATTTTTTTTAAATGTTGAAAATTCACTATTCACTTTCAGGGGACTTTTTCTAACAAAGACCTTAGAATGTTGTCACTGCAAATGTATGGAAATAAAAGTGCATTGTCATGTCAGAGTGCAAGGAATCTATGTCAGTGCAAGTTCATGGATCTTTTATTAGGATTGCAATATGTTGGCAAAATTGCAGTTTGTCGGTGCAAGTCTGTGTTATGCCAGTGTCAATGTGGTTCTGTTATAATACATAAAGCTGTAATATTAACATTGCTACAATTGTTAATAAGTTAATTTTCTGTCACTCTTGAAAGAAATACTGACATACAATGAAAGAAACCGTGACTTGTACAAGTATTCCTTGCTGACATGAATACTCCCATTGTAACTAATGAGGAGGTGGAAACTGCTGTGTGTATGGACTACTCACCAGAGTAAAGCTTGTACTATTGCGCCTGAATATTAAGAAAAGTTTTCAAATCAAGTCCATTTTAAAGGAAGGCTGACTCAGCATTCTGAACTTAGTTCCATTGGAGTCTTTCCATTGACTTCATTGGATGTAAGATTGGGCCCACAATGACCAGATATTGAAACACGTGGGGGCTGATCAGTGCTTAATTTGTAATGAACGAGCTCTGGGGCTCAAGCAAATTTTTTTACTTTCATGACAGATGCGACTAGCCCAGAGGTGCCGGGGCTATGAACTGCCAAGCCTAGAGGTACTGGGGCTCAGCCCTGGCAAGCCCTGGCACAAATTAAACACTGGGTCTGATCCTGTGAAACCTCAGTCAATAGAACTGATTTCAATGAAACGACCCGCTTGAATGAGGATTACTGGATTAAGTGATTACTGGATCAGGGCCATTGTCCTCTGCCAGAGGGCAACTTTTAGAATATTTTTTGTGAACAGTGAAACAGGTGCTAAATTGCCAAGTAATGCAACTGAACACACTGTCACTGATTGTGCACAATTTGCATTAGAGAGTAACAACATATTGGTAAAGAACACTCTTAGGAGTAACATTCCTAGAGTTGAACAACCCTCTGGCACACATTATTTGTGCAGCAATACAAAGCCACAAACAGATAGAGCTAGGGAGCCCTATTGCAGCCATTACTCAAAATGTCATTGACTGCATTGTTGGGATTTGCCTTACATCGGTATTATGGTAAAGGCGTGGTTTTTTAAACGATCTATAGAACGTACTGTGGTGCATAGAAACAACCCAGGAGCAAATGCCAATACCCAGCTCTCTGCCATGCATCTTTGTAAATCCTTGTTAATTTCTGCCATTTTTTAATGTATATTTCTGTAACCAAACTGATAATAGACATATATGGGGCCAGATCTTCGGCTGGCATACTCTGCGGCAGTGCCACTGAGCACCAGCTGAGGATCTAGCCCATTGTTTTCAGGAGAGCCACGTGAAAATGATGTACGCTCTATTCCAATAGCACATATTTGATTGATGTTTGGTTTTGCTTTTCATGTTGCTATTGGTTATAACACCCCACTGATTCAGTATGATAAAGTTTTATATTATGTTCTGAGAACTGCAGAATATTGTAATGTGAAGAGGGTAGCTGCTACTCGCTCCTATTACTGCAAGTTCTAGTCTTTAGCAACAACCAGGCTTCCTGATGTAAGAAACTACGTGAAAAAATATTCTGATCAATCTCTCCAACTAAAATATCATTGTAACTGCATAGAACTACCCTGTACAAAGACAGCTTTATTGTCTATGTAAATGTAACTTTGCTATGTTGTTTTTATGTTTAAGGGGCAATAGGCTTTGGTGTGGATGAGAACATTGTCACCTTATAAAACCAGAGAGTATTATCACTCATCAAATATTGTGCTGAAGATATTCAATTTCTCTATTTTTCCAGGATATAAACATATATGTAAAACACTGTTACCTGAAAACTAATTATTTGTTCAAAATATACACATAGATGACATAAGTTGATTATAACACTATAACTAAAGGCTTCCTAACAAATCACATTATTTTCCTAAAAGACTCTACATGTGATATCCTTTGACATCACAAGTAGAGGGGGAAAGTACTACAGCTACCAAGGCTGGTTATAGTGGATGAGTTAGTCTATTAATTCTGTCGCCGCTTTAGACTGATTCTAAATGTTGTAATTTAAAAACAACTGCAGGATCAGGCTCTTGGTGGCCATCCCTGAAAATATATTTATATTTACAGTTCATACGTAAATATTCCAGTTCAGCCAAGCAATTAAGCACATGCATTAGTCTCTTTAAATATGAGTTGAAGACCCCAATTCAGCTAAGCTCTTCAGCACTTATATAATGTTAAGCCTCTGTTTAAATGTTTTAAGCCCTGATTCAGGAAGGTTATTAAGCATGTGAGCAGTCCCAGGGATTTTATTGGGACTACTCACATGCTTAAAGTTAGAGAGACAAGGTGGGTGAGGTAATATCTTGTATTGGACCAACTTCTGTTATGAGAGACACAAACTTTGGAGCCACACCAGAGCTCTTCTACACTGCATACATGCTTAAAGTTATGGATGTACATAAGTACCTTGCTGAATCAGAGACTTTCTGAAAAGGGACAGACAACCATATGCTAAACGTTAACTATGTACTTAAGCATTGTGCTGAAAAGAATAATTTTCCTTATACTGGCCTAAAGGCGTGACTTCAATCCTCTTTTACATAATGGCATATAATGTTGTATATTGGAAAATCTTAATTGCTTCTCAAAGCTAAGTTAGTAAGTTTACAGTTGTCAAGTTTAACAAGTTTTTGTTCTCTTTTGTTTCTCTCATCATCCTAGGATTTGGGAGTGACAGTGGATCCATACTTACAATATTAGTAAATACAGGATGTCACTGAGCAATTTAAAGCATTAACCAAATATAATATATGTGTTGTGTTATAGTTTACCTGAAAAAAGTGTTTTTCTATTATATGCCTTTAAAAACTACTTCATAAATATTGAACCAATATGTATTCAGTGTGAAAGTTTTATTCCATTCTAACCAAGGACTGACTAAATGGATTTTTCTAAATGAGAAGCTTTATCTTCTGTATTTTAAGCAGAACAAATTTGAATTTTGTCTCTGATAATAAAATTTTGTACAGTAATGTGTAATTCATCACTGTCTTAATTTTCTGACATGTGGAGACAAGGCTAAGATAAATAATACTCTTGGCCTTTTGATTGTGTTCCCATTTTCACTTGAGATAACAGCTTAATAATGCTGAGTGGATACACTGAAGAGCCCTACAAAAGAGAAAAGCATATGAGAAAAAACATTTGACAAAACAAGATGCAGAGACTAGCACAAAAGAGAAATATATTTATAACAAAATCAGAAGTTCTTGGTGCAAAATATTCTCTCACTTTACACACCCTAAGTCACTGTGGGTGAAACTAAGAACAGAATTTCTCTATACTAGTATACTTCTCTAATTAATCAAAATACTCCTCGTTGTTTTTTCTCTAATTATGTACATTTTGAATAAATGAAAAAAATTATAGTATATATATACATTGCTTATAGTGATTTCAATTGGAATGCAATTCAAATGGCTTTTTAATAGGGTTCTTGAATGCAGCAGACTCTCCTTTTCCCTTTTTTAAGAACAGTTTCAACAACAATGGGATGTGAAATATATGCAGTTATTTACTAATAGGGTCCAAGCCCATTCCCATTGAAGTCAATTGGAACTTTCTCATTGATTTCATTGGAAGTAGGAGCCAAGCCCATGATGGTCAGCATGTATGTTTCAATGTCAGCTTTATTTATTTTACGTAACTAGCAAATATGTTTTCAATTAGTTGTACTTGGACTGTGACAAGGTCCCTCACCAAAGGCTGTTAAGCAAACTAAGCAGTCATGACATAAGAGGGAAGGTCCTCTCAGAGATCAGTAACTGGTTAAAAAATAGGAAACCAAAGGATAGGAATAAATGGTCAGTTTTCATAGTGGAGAGAGCAGGGTCCCCCAAGAATCTGGATGGGGACCTGTGCTGTTCAATATATTCATAAATGATATGGAAAATGGAGTGAACAGTCAGTTGCCAAAATTGGCAGATGATACAAAATTACAAAAGATAGTTAAGTCCAAATCTGTCTGAAGAGTTACAAAAGGGATCCTGCTAAATTGGGTGACTGGGCAACAAAATGGCAGATGAAATTCAGTGTTGATAAGTGTGTCGGAGAAAAACACAGTTCTCACTCTTTGGTTGGTTGCAGCAAAGTCAGATACTTTATTCTCAAGCAATTGCATAGAGGGAGAGAGTGCACTGGGACACAGGGGTTCCCCCCTTCTAGGCAGCTCTCTCTCCAGGTAAACAATTACAGCAAGCATTTATACCTTTGTTACAGACAATAATGAGCAACAGCTGCATTTTGTTTATACATAGGTCATCCTGATTACTTATTTTTCTCATTTATTTAGACTTTAGTCTACATTTCATCTTATCTACACAAGGTCGCAACAACTTCTCACACAGTCCTTTCCCCATTGGCCTCACACAATCCTCGCTTCTATAAATCTCACATTATTAGGGTTACAGCTAGCCTGACTCTTGCTCACAGAAGAGACTGCATTGAAATCCCCTTCCAATCCCTGTCAGGCCTTGCTCTACTTCCACAAGTGCAACGTAATGCCCATTGGGGAAAAATAATCCCAACTATACATACAAAATAAAGGGGTCTAAATTACCTGTTACCACTCAAGAAAGAGATCTCGGAGTCAAACTGACAGCTCTCTGAAAGCATCCACTAAATGTGCAGTGGCAGTCAAAAAAGTGAACAATAAGGAAAGGAATAGTGATAAACAGAAAATATCATAATGCCATTATAAAAATCCATGGTACGCCCACACCTTTTACACTGCATATAGTTCTGGTCAATCCATCTCAAAAAAGATACATTAGTAAAAGGTGCAGAGAAGGGCAACAAAAATAATTAGGGGGTATGGAATAGCTTCCATATGAGAAGAGATCAAAAAGACTAGGACTATCCGTCTTAGAAAAGAGACGACTAAGGCGGAAATATGATAAAGAACTATCAAATCATGAATGGTGTAGGGAAGTGTTATTTACCCCTTCACATAACACAAGAACTAGGGCTCACCTGATTAAATTAATAGGCAGCAGGTTTAAAAGAAACAAAGGAAGTATTTCTACACACAACCCACAGTCAACCTATGGAACTCATTGCCATGCCAAAAGTACAACTGGGTTCAAAAAAGAATTAGGTAAGTTCATGTGGGATAGGTCCATCAAGAGCTATTAGCCAAGATGGTCAGGGATGCAATCCCCATGCATTTGCTGTATGGTTTAATCTGCTGGTTGGTTGCAAGGGAACTTTTTAAGCACCCTCCCACCCCTGCCCCAATCCTACAAAAGCACTGTAAATTGTAGTCAATAGGACTAATCACTTGAGCAAAGTTCCACACATACTTAAGTGCTTTGCAGAATTGGGGCCTAAATGAATATTTTGTAGTAACCTGGCCTGTGGTGTGTTAGGTTACCATGCAGGAGACCGAAACTCAAGAGTCACCTTGGGATGCCTAATGCGTGGGCTGATATGGTTGAGAATAGTATGTATAAGGAATGGAGATCCTGAAATTTGTATAGTAAGGGATGGAGAGCCTACTGCCGTAATGCCAAGACCATCTCCTTTAGCAGTCCTATTTAGGATAGGTAAAGATTTTGTCCTGTCTAGAAAGCTCTTTTAGGCCCTGATTCAGCAAAGTACTTAAGCACATGCCACACGTCACCTATGTGAGTTGTCCCATTCAGGATGACACATGTTTAAAGTTAGAGAGATGCTTAAATATTGCTGAATCAGGATTTCAGTATGTTTCCATTCTATTTAAGCACATCTGTAAGATAACAGCAGAACATAGATAGGTTATGCAGACATGGGATGAAGTCCTAGCCCTACTGAAGTCAATAGAAACTTTGCGTTTGACTTCGGGGGGGTGAGGAGGGGGCAGGTTAAGCCTACGATGTACTTGGGTCACTGTGGTGTAGGGACAATCCAGCCACGCCTCCCTTTCCCTGGCTGCAATCCCTAAACTGACCATCAGGGGAAGTGGCATAGGAGCAGCTATGGATACCCACTGCCACTGGAGGATCCTTGTGTAGAGGGTAAATCTCAAAGGGACAGGACCTACTGCCCATAAGGGAGCTGTGCACTAGGGGACTTGCAGAAAACTATTACTGTGGATGGCTGGAGCTGACCCCTTAATTTCATTCTTACTGAAGATCCTGTTACAGGAGTATTAAAGCAGCCCAATTAAGCTGGTGCGCACAGTAAGCACTGCTGAGAGCAGTGGTTGGGCTGGGAGCCAGCGAGAGCGGGTCTTTCTGAAATTCTGATGCCAGCCTGTCTCCGAAGCAAACTTCAAAAAGAAAATGCTCATTTCCTTCCCAGCCTAGCCACTGCAGTTGGCAGCATTTTGCTAGGTAGCTGGGCTGCTTTAAAATTGATTATTTTCATCTGAAACTGAATGGAGAGCTGGTTATTTGTTCTCATTTCAATGTGTTCAGCAAGAACAGAGCTTTAAAGGAACCCAGTGGCTTACAACACACAACTGCTGCATTGAAAACAAGTGGGAGGGAGGAGAAGCAACAGCCTTTCAGTTAAAATTAATGTTTCGAGTATTTATTTGCTAAGAGCCTCTTTAAATCATGGGGAATATAAGTATATTTTTTTGCTATCTTTAACGTCCTGTTTCCTCTTTTTCATGGCCATCGTTTTTTATATACTAGATAGCCATTAAGGCTTTGATCCTTCAAGCTGGACATCTGCACCCAAGCAGAGTCCCATTGACTTCAAAAGCACTCTGTGTGCTGTAGGGGGTCAGCCTGCATGGATCAGCTTGCAGGAACGGGGCCTAGATAAAATGGGGTGAGCCAATAGATGGGCTGGTGATGCTCCCAGGCTTCCCCAAGACTCCAAACACAGGCCTCAGCAAGAGGGCCTGACTCGTCAATCAGATCATGGCTTTGAAGAAGCAGTATCCAAAGTGCTATATTTCGATGAGAGTGAGCCATGTTTTGTGTGAGGTGCCTAGTTGAGTGTGTGTACACAATCCTCAGAGGACTGTCAGAAAGCTCAATATCTAATGGTTTTGGAATTGCAAGAACGGATTAAGTGTGATTGCCAAAAATGAAAGCTTCATTGAATATAAGCTTAGCTAATACTGTGGGGTATTTAGAACTGTATTTTTTGAGTTGGGAAAAAATGTCTTTTCTGCTGGGGCCACAGCCTCTTACATGGAAGCCGAATCTGCTCGATGATTAAAAGGGGAGAGGACATCTTGGTAAAACTTCTTGTTGTGTGCTGTGTTGGAGGCTGATGGTGAATTATAGAACTTTCGTTCTGCTGAAACTAGTCCGTACAGTACAGAGGGTGACTCCTAAACCCATGTGCAGTGTGTGAATGAACACAAACTTTGGAACGTTTGGAGCAGTCCTACAAGGCGGTATCATACAGGACCATCAGCAATCATGTGGGAATTTAAAACATCAAGCACACCAGGGCAGTGGAGTCCATAAGGGCTTGATTCTGTAAGATACTGAGCTCACTGACCCTGATCCAGGAAAGCACTTAAGCATGTGCTTAACTTCAAGCACATAAGTAGTCTTGTTGAAGTCAATGAAGCCACTCATGTGGTGAAGTCAAGCATATGCCTAAGTGTTTAGTGGGAATGGAGCCAGAGTGCACAGCATCTTGCAAGATCAAACCCTAGTATAACAGCCTCATTTTGCAGTATATTGAACATGATGTTGATTATTCATTCCACAACTACAGCTTCACTTTAAAGAATGTCTTTCTGCTCCTTGAACTTTCTCAGGAATCACTTTTGTCTGTTATACTGATCATCATCTTTGACCTGCTCATTGTGGAAGGTTAAGAAAAAGAAAGAGGCGGAGGAGGGGGAGGATAATGAGATGCTATTGCATGACATGTCTATTACAGTAATTCATTTCATACAGCACAGAACCCTTGCCAGTGATAAATGCATGTTACTGATGCAATTCTGAGTTGTATCTTGAACTTTTCAACAATAAAGCTGCCAAAGGGCTGCAACAACCATAAGTGAAAATGGGAGAAAATTCCT